AGTCTGGCCCCGCGAATGGCGAGCATGCTGGTGCAGCAGGCACATCAAGAGGTTCGCGCTCCCCCTCAGCACAAGACGACGAGAGGGTCCAGCCTCCTTCGTCTCGACTCTTTCACACCGTCCCCCCGGAAGCCCTGACGGCGAGACTGTACGATATCGTCCCAACAATGGCTGCCCCGCAAGCCACCAGCATCAACGCCCTCGCCGTGACGCCAGACTTACGCTACTGGGTTACTGGTGGGTCGGATGGCTACATCAGAAAGTACGACGGCCCTGGCACTATCAATGGCAAGCAGCTCTTGACCGTCGCTCAGCGCCATCCGTTTGTCGACAGCGTCGTCAAGGCGGGCATCCTCATGTCATACTGGGAGAACGAGGAGCCCAGCCCTCCCAATCCGCGTGGCAATGAGGAGCACGTCACCTCGCCCGTGTATTCCCTTGCCATTCATTCACAAGCCTTGTGGCTTTTGTCGGGCCTCGAATCCGGCGGCATCAACCTGCAGAGCGTGCGGCATGACGAGGGTAAGCGAATAACCTGTCTCCAGCAGCACACGAACGCTGTGAGCGTCTTAACCCTGGCTCAAGACGAAACGAGCGTGCTCAGTGGGAGCTGGGACAAAAACATCCTCGACTGGGACCTGAACACAGGCACCGTCAAGCGGCGCTTCGACGGTACAGGTAACCAGATCTCGGCCATCGAGCTACGGCCCCTCAACGGCACACCGGTGCCCGCCGAGGCGTCTGACTTTCAGGCCAAGAATGAGACCTTTTCGTCGAGCAACAACCGGCCACCAACCAACGGCGCTTTTTCCGGCGCCAATGACACATTCAACGCAGCGCCTGCCAACACAGCAGCGGCCGAAACAACGGAAGCCCAAGCGTCTCCGGCGCATGAGTCTCTGTTTGGCGGCAGTGACACTGGATCCCTATTTGGCGAAACAGGCGCCGGAGGGTTCGGGGGTGATGACGATGATGAATTCTCACAGGCCATGAACATGACCATGCATGATGCGTCAGGTCAGGATGGTGGCATGGAGGGAGGAATGGACCATTCCGCCGACATGGCGACATTCGATTCCGAGACGGTGCCGGCCCCGGCTGTTCAACCGCCTCCAAGTAGCCCATTGGTGGCGAAGCAACCCCCACCGCAACCTTCGCCAGTTGTGCATCCGGCACCTATCCCCGAGCCAGCGGCCGACCCCATGGTCACAGACCCAACACCTACCGAACCCATGGGAATGGCTGAGTTTGAAGCTGTCACTTCTGCACAGACAGAGCAGCAGCCTCCAGACTCGCCGTCTCTTGTCTTCTCATCCAAGCCAGCTCCCCCTCCGCTCGACCCAACCCAGTCCTCCGATACTGTATTCTTGTCGGCCGCCATCAACGGCACTATCCGCATCTGGGATCGCCGCGTCCAAGATCCCGTCGCGCGGATCGGCACTCGGACAGGCGTGCCGCCGTGGTGCATGGGCGCCACCTGGAGTCCTGACGGCGACTGGATTTACGCAGGTCGGCGAAACGGCACCGTTGAAGAGTTCAGCATTCACAAGGCCCGCAGTGGATGGGACCCTGAGCGAACCCTCAAGTTCCCAGCCGGCTCCGGCGCCGTGACTGCTGTGCGGGCGATGCCGAACGGGCGACACCTGATCTGGTAGGCATCTCACCATTCTGTTCTATCAATATTACGATCCATGCTAATATTTCACAGCGCTTCGCATGATATTCTGCGTCTCTATGACACGAGAGACACGGCGGCGTTTAAAAACTCGAGCGTTCCCTTCCTTATCGTACCCGGCCCACCGCGTGCTGGTGTCATTTCTTCGCTGTATCTCGATCGCACATGTCGTTTCATGATCTCGACGGCTGGCACACGAGGCTGGGAAGGCTCAAACACAGAGGTGCTGATAGGATACGAGATCAATGTTGTCGGCGAAAAATAGCCTGACAGCGAGCTATTCTAGATTCGCATTAAAACTAAATATGTAGGAGGTCAGGGGTGGATTTATGTGGGCTGATGGTCCTTGTTGGTGCTGGGGCGTTAACTGGCAGTAGGAATACCCTTGTTTATAGTTGTGACTCAATCTTGGCTGCAGGAAAGAGAGCATGTTGACCACAGTTTGACAATAACTTTTCTGCCGGTGCGATGATCGCTGTTGTATCAAACACGTGATACTACCACCTGCCTCTGAGTGTTTTTTTCTTGTATGTCGAGCAGTGACACGCGCACTCCATGTTCACGTTGTTTCGCTGTCAGCAGCGGACTGGCGGCTTTTGAATTGTGGTTCTGCAAGGCCCCTGACTCCCTCTGGCCGCTAATCGACCTCACCCGCTGCCAGAAAACCCTCGCCTAGTTCCTTACTCTGCCTTCACGATTGTCACTTCTTCGCGAACGGCCAGCCAGACCACCGAAGCCCTCGAAAAGAAGCCTCGCGAGTCGACGGGCACTGACCAGATGTGTTGGAAGAGTCAGCCCTTTCATTGCACATGCCTGTATCGGATGGCTCGCTGATGCTAGTCCAAGAGGCGTTTCTCGAGACGTCCTCGAAGTCCCAGGACGTGCCTTCCACATGGCCCAGCCGAACCGGAAAGTCGAAGCTGATGGCAGCAGGGCCATCGGACCTCTGGCTGTGAGTATGCTGTCGGCCACGAAGAGCACCATCCGCACCGTAGTTTCCAAAGCATTCCTGTTGGTTGCATTTGTCTTGAAGCAGAGCCCGGCTGCGGGGCGATGATCTCACAGAACGAAGTTGGGTGCGGAGCTTGGGTAAAGAGCGGTGGTGGTCGAGTGGCCGACGAGGCGGTCGCATTTCGATGGTGCCAATATCTTCGTTTGTCGCCCGCCCCTTGGGCTCATAGTAGGGGATATCTGCACGGGCAGGATGCGTCGTGGAGCGGCTCCATGTTGAGATTCGGTGGTGTAGGGGAGTATTCGGTTCAATGCCGGCGGGATTCATGATTCTGACTAAATTTGACTCGATAGGATATTATCTAATGTTCATATGGTCACTCTCTTGCAAATTATTGTTGTGCAGCAAGTCTCGGCTCCTTATATCGAGAGCTGAGCAGTCGTAAGCTACGCCTCCTTCATGTATCATGAGGTTCGGCCCTGATTCAGCACGAGGTCGGGACTCTATCACAACGATGTGGAAGATGACAAAATTGAGGCTCCAGGTCAGTTTCTAGAAAATGAAGAACTCGCGTCTTTCATCAGTGTTAAAGCAGAGGCTCAGTTATGACACAGAGACAAAGGTCAAACGTGTCAGGCTTCTGTGGATCGCTTCTGTAATATGACTTGAGACACGAACGTTGTTCCAACAAGGAATGGATCTTCACAGCGGTTTGGCGAGAATCTTTACACTCCGGGATCGTGGTAGATATGAACACTGATAAAAGTTCCATGTGGATGCTGCTGAGGGACATAAAGTGCAATACGCAATGACTTCTAATTTTGAGCGCTCGTGCTGGCCAAGTCGAACCTGAATCCCGTATTCGTTGTAGAAAAGTCGCAGTCTCATTTGCTACGCTGCACAATTTTTTTGTAGTATGAGCAGATCTAGGCAAACGATTGAGGCTCATCTTGACTGGAAAGAAACATGATCAATCAAGCAGTTCGTTAAGTGGGCTGACAAACTCACGATGCCACTTGCGAGCCAGAGGCTAACGACATGACGCCCATGGAACAGATTCTGGTCATACCCACGCAATGCCAGGTGCCTACAACATACTCGCTTGCTTACCCAGACAGCCACAAAGAATCAGACCGTTCGTTCCACCACGTCAACGCGACTACTTACGCCCTGGTACGTCGCAACACGAAGATCTATCCGATGTCAGTGTTGCATCCGGACGTCACGAGTAACCATGCGAACGGCAGAGCAACGAGGTCGAAGTGGTATCTTTGGTCCATTCATACGTTCATCATAATCGTTAGTGTCAAAGGTAGAAACATACCCAGTCCACTGAGAAGGCCTACCAACATTCAGACCAGGAAATAAAACAAAATAGAGCAGCACACCAAGACAGTCTGCATCCAAACCCGCCAAAGCTAAAACTTGGATCTCGCCGAAAGACAAAGGGCCCAAGAATTGTGATACCAAAATAGAACGAGAGATTCAAGGGAACGAATCGCACAAACCGCCAGAAACAAACAAATCCACAGGCTTCAGAGCGCCCTCACCATGGTCTCACTTATTGATGCCGTTGAATACTTCTTGGACCGGTGTCTCGCCGAGGTAGCGCTCCATGGCGAAGCTCAGCCTCTTGGGCGGGGGAGGCGACGTTCTTTCGGCCTCAGCCCGGAGCTCCTCGGCGAGTGCGGCAGCCTTCGCCGCGGCCTCGGCCGGAGCGACGGCGGTCGCTTCGGTGCCAAGCCGGGTCTTGGCGGCTTCGCGAGCGGCTTGGTCGGCGTTCTGAGACATTCTTTGGGCAGGATCCCGTCAGCTTGGGAAACGAATCCGATTTGAGTTCTAGAAAGGAAAAGGAAAGGAATTAGAATGTGGAGAGACAGTCACGACAGAGGAGAAGAAGGCTTTCGAAGTATGCTAAGAGGCAAACTGGGGACGTACGCGAAAGCTTTCTTCTGGGTCGGGACGGATGGCTGCGTCAGAAGCAACCAGATGGACGGGTAGGATGAACGGATAGGTCTTTGACGAGTCGAGTCTCAGAATGCCGCAATAAGATGAGTGGTGATAGGCAGGGCCTTTCACTCGTTCTCAGTGTGCTTTTGGGGTTTCAAGCGGACCGAGACACAAAAGACGAGAGGTCTGGTTATTGATGTGTGCGTGAAAAGCGGAAAGAGTTGGCAGGTAATTCCAGAAAATCTCACCGGGAGGGGGGAAAGATGAAGGGGGACTTCCTGAAGAGGGCAGCAAAAGGGACCACCCCTCAACACCAGGAAGAATTAAGCTCGTTTATAACATCAGCTCGACAGTCTACCGTCCCTCTCATCTTCCCCCTCCCCGCCTCTCTTACTCTCCGTACCCCTAGGCCAGAGTGTCTCCCCTTGTGTGATGATGGCTTGCCTGCCGGAGTCTTGATCGGGTCATCATACCATTACCAGGTCGCCTTTCCCCTCTCCTTCCACGCCTCTCCCGGTCAGAGGCAAGCGAGCGACAAACCATCACGGGGCCCCCTCATTCCCGCAGCTTACAGCGCGATCGCCTTGTTTGCAGAGATGACGGTGAAGGGGGCTGCATTATGCGTCGGCTTGTGTCACGAACGCGCTGCGTCGCCGAGTCATAGGAGGGTCGAGGCGAGGCCCGGCGAGCCAGCCAATAGCCTTCATGATGAACAAGAGCGACGCCCAGACAGCAAACAGATTCTCTGTCGTTTACAGGCCCATAGATCACGCGAGGGGGGGGTTGGAGGACCAGGGGGGCGACCGGATTCATGAGACCTGATCGAAGAGGAGTTGGCGACGGGCGGGGGAAGAGGCCTTCCCTGCATCAGCTGCAGCTGCGGGTAGCTGCATCGTAGTAAGTTCTGTAGCAGAGGGATTCGCTCGCTTGCTCGATCTCTTTGCTTGCTCGCCTGTCTGGCATTGAGGGCAGGATGCTGTGTTGTGGCGATGAGGCAGTCATGAAATCTTGCTCGACCAAAAGTAGTGGCGTGATGTGACGGTGTGACGCAAAATGTAGACTGGGGTAGAGAGACAAGGTTAATGCGTGGATGTACTAGAATTTATCGCATCGACTTTTGAGCATCAAGCGTAATGGGTCTTCCATGAACAACTGGTGCTTTGTTTTGTTTGGTTTAACCCTTCCTGAACTCTTTCCACCATCGTCTTCTCTCTCTCTCTATCTCTCTTTCTCTTCCCCCCTCCCCCCCCTTTGGCCTATGTGGCTCATTCCCATGGTTGCCTTGACCTTCCATCCTCGTCTTTCCAACCAGGATTCTCTCATTGCAAAGGGAAAACAATACGGCATCCATAGAGTGTATTCACCCTCTTATTGTGCTTCCCTCGAGTATCCTCATGACATGTTGTTGAACTCAACCAATGAACCCGCCGTTCCGATACAAATGACACAGGTGAAGATTACCATTATATACTAAATGTTGCTGACCTCATGGCGAAAATGCCCACGGAACATTGAAAACTTGACAAAGAAAGGGCCCTTCGCTGCTGGGCTGGTGTTTGAATGGGGGTATGTGAGTGCATATGGGTATTTGTGCGTGTATGTGTACGTTTGTGCATGTCATCTGCTTTGATTCACCACCATTACTGCCCAACAGGCGTGTGATGGTAGTATTGAACTGGCACCATGGGCCACTCTGCTGACACAGGTGTTGGTGTTGAGCTGTGGTCATCGACGACTGTGGTACCAAAGCTCTCCCAGTCTTCAAACACGACGTTGTTGGGCATGTAGTTGAAATTCATCGGCGGGGCCTCTTGTGGAGGCGGCGGCAATTCGCGGTCAAGTGAGTGCCTGATGGGATCGGAACTGGCGCGAGTGACTGGCTGGCCTTGATGAAAAAGTGGCGGTGGCATCATGTGCTGCTGCTGCTGCTGCTGCTGCTGCTGCTGTTGTTGTTGCTGTTGCTGTTGCTGTTGCTGATGCTGTTGTTGAGACCGCATCTGGTCCATGTGCTGCTGTTGGCTTCTCATTTGCTCCATGTGCTGCTGATTCCTCATGTGGTCCATATCCATCTGTTGCTGCTGGTTCCTCATTTGATCCATCTGTTGCTGCTGTTGCTGATTTCGCATCTGGTCAACAAAAGGCTGATGACTGCCTTCTTGGGACGGCACAATAGGCGGTGACGGCTGCTGAGTGGGCAGGGTCTGAGAAGGAATGGCTGGCGGCGGTAGGAGCGGCTGTGGCGGATATGCCTGAGGCGGTGGAGGCGGAGCAAGACTTGTGGGCTGAGGCGGGTAGCACTGAGCGTAGTCCATTGGCGGCGATGCCGGAACGTTGAGGAACACAAGATCGGCGAGCTCGTAGGCAACCGAGACGATCGACTCGGCCTCGGTGCTGGAACCCGAGAAGAACTCGAGGAGGTCCTGCAGCTGACCGGGGCACTCGTTTTCCATAAAGCCTTGAGCGCGTCCAGTTTGGGTTGGGTTCCAGCTGAAGTTGGGCTGACGGCCGGCAAACTCGGCAGCCTTGCCCATGAGAATATCCTTCCAAGCCTCGTGAATCAGGGGCTGATGCAGCAAGCCATAGACAACCCTCGAGTGCATCCAGTCCGATTTTGTCTTGCCGGATTCAAAATGCCTGGCAACGTGCTCAACATGGCGCTCTCGAGAAGGATGCAGGGCAGAGCAGAAGCCGCATGCCCAGTACTTTCTCCGCTTGAGATACTTGACGACCTTTTCGGAGTGCGGACACGTTTTGCAGCCGTGAGAAGACTTGTGATGTTGGTTGAAGGTGTTGGCACCCCAGAAGCTCCGGTTGCAGCCGGGCTCGGGACAGGGATACTTCTTCCAACGCTCATGGAACTCTTCCTCGTGGCGCTTCCAGTCGTACTTGCGCTTGAACCTCGTCTCGCAAGAGGTGCACCAGTAAAAGTTGAACCGTCCAGGGCCCCATCCAGTCTGCGCGCTAGCGACCTGAGGCAGAGCGCCGCCCACAGAGTGCTGGGGGACGGATTGAGACTGGGATGAGGGGCCCATGGCGGGCTGTGAGTAGTGTGTGGAAATGGAGGCATTCGAGTTCATGGAGCCCATTGACCAGATGCTGGCGTGGCCGGATGAGCCGGAGCTGGTCGAGGAGACGGAGATGCGCGGTCGGTGACCGATCTGGCCGTGACAGATGGCTGGAGGTGGTGGCAGGCCGGTCAGCGGCGTGGAAGGGGACGACAAGGTCGAAGACGAACCTCTTGTGGACGCATCCTCCAAGACGGTTTCTGTCGATGACTGAGAGGACCTGTCGCCAGCCTCCCACATCTCCAACAGGACTTCGCGTGACAAGCCGGAGCTCTTGAGAGCTTCGAGAGTGCGTCTGGCCTCGACCAAGACGTCGGCAGGTGCATCCTGCATTGTGTGATCCATGGCGACGCTGTGCTTTGCCGTCAGACAGAACACAGAACGCGCGAGCGGATGTAATTGGGTCGACCGAAGCGTGTGAGCAGTGCTATGTCCTCACACGGCTCAGGTGAGGTCGACGGACGCAGGCAGCGGGCGTTTTGTTCGGTTCACAGCCAGGCGGCGGTTGCGGCGTTGGACAGGTGGTGAGTCGTGGCTGTTGTGTCCAGCACTCAGAAAAGCAAAGCCAACTGGTCAACGTGGTCGGAGAGCGGAGAGAGAGCGAGTACGAA